GAAATATGCTAAGGCAATACGAACATGCACTGAATATGAGGAAGCACTACTTCAAGTCACAGAAGCAATAACAAAGTGGCACTTGATCACAAAGGGGGATATTGTTGGAGATATTTTAATTGTGAATCAAGTTTGTCATAGATTAGCTTTATTAGTATTCATTGTATTAAATTAGTGCATGTATTAGATAGAATGTGGGCCAAGTGTTAGGCCCATATAAACAGGCTAAAAGCCTTTCTCACCTAACCTAAACCTCGCCTATAAAAAGGGAGTCGAGGGTTTAGGATTAGGTTAACGTCGTACTTGTTCATTATAGCCTTACGCGCATATCTTTCTGTGTACGAGTTCACGGTCTATCAAAGAGGGTTTTACATTGATTCAATCTGTGTTCATCCTTACGTTTAATCTTCTTTGTTAGATTGTTATTCATTGTTGTTTCAGAAACAGGGACTATCATGATATAACAAGGTAGATTGATAATCAACCTTAATGAGAGCAGTGGTCTCAGCAGTTGGGTGAATGTGAGGGAACTGTCGAGGCACCTGCTGAGGCACCTGCTGGATTACAGCTTCAGTTTCAGAGATCGGTTTGAACGGACTTCTTAGAGATAGTGTCATGAAGGTCTGGTGAAGTTGAGATGTTCAAAGGAAATACTTTTGTGTGAGCAGTGGGCTCAGCGGTTGGGTAGTCACCAGGGGACTGCTGAGGCAACTGTTATGCCTTAAGTAAGATTTCCTGAAATCTGATGGAACAGCCCTTATAGTTGTGATATTGCAAGGCTCTTGCATCTCAAAGAAATTGAGTTATTAAGCAGTAGGATAAGTAGTATGGTCAATTAAGACTAATGCTTAGGATGTTGCTGGCAAACTACAATCTTTTATGAGAAGTGTTTGGTGCGTGCTTTGTTGACTGAAAATAAATCAACACACAGTATATCCTGGTTCAGAGATGGTGTAATCCTTCTACATCCAGTCCCATCCTATTTCAAATGGATTTCACTAATGTATTAAGCCCAATACACTTAGTGACAATCTAGTCTTGACAACTCGGGCCTAGATTGAAGGTGTTTCACGAGGAGTACAACATCACTCCAAGCTACTCAATCCTTTAGGTTTTTCTCAATTGATCCAGTGGGGATCAAAAGGTACTCTTGACCTATCTAACCACACTCAGGCCGGGAACAACTGTCCTCCTGAAGTGTTTACAACAATATCTGATTGGATTACAAGAAAGTTCTAACCTCCAACTATGAACTAAACTTCTAGGATTTAGCAATTAAGACTTGAGACTAAGAAGTTTAGTGAAACAAGAGTCTAAGTAGAGAGTAATGTATAGAATAGAATTTTCTCTTTTGCTGGATATTTCGTGAATGCTCAATAGAAATATCTCTCTACTTAGGATGCTCAGGCTTGGTTAGAGACTTTCGTTTCAGCCTATATTTATAGGCTTCTCCAGTTGATTAATCTCATCCGTTGGTTAGGATGGATTAATCATGTTCGTTAAAGATTGACTTGTACATTTGTCTTGTTGTGTTGGAGCTTTTAATGCGGCGATTCTCTTGTCTTCAATAATCTTTTAGCCGTTGGAACATCTCTTCAAAAATGATCTCATGTGTGCGTCTTCAATGCTCCGGGCCCCAGTATAATTTTAGTATTCAATGTTAGTCAAGTTTTGTCTTCAATCATATACATTTAATGTATATGATTTTCGAGCTTCTTTTCTTTTCGTCAAAACATGTGACATTTAATTAATCTTTGAGCTAAATAATATATGCCGGTAGGATCTAAATATCCTATTAAGGTAAATAAAAATTACCTTATTGCATTTTTACTTTTCCGGTAATATTTCTTTAGTCTCAAAAATTGTACATTTTATTTTTGTCACTCAAATTCAAATGCTATTTTATAAGACACAATGTACACGTGCAAAGTATAGTGGCATCATCAAAATCTATCAGAATTGGGTACTAACAGGCATTATTAATCATTAATAATTCATAAAACCACATTTAATTACCTTAGATAATCTCATGAAATTAACTCACTAATTATAAGCAATATAGCCAGTCATTCTCACCTCGAATGAGCTTTAAGAAGTTCTACTCTTCTCGGTTGAACTCCGGCGAAACTCCGGCGATACTCCGGCGATACTCCGGCGAAACTGCGGCGACAGTTAGGGACACCTTAGTCAAACTCCTAACAAGGTTTTATCATCACAAAACTCATATCAACAAAAGTAACCTCTAAAAGGTTATTTTCCGGCAAACCGGTCATTTGGCTTCTAAGTCTGTTCTTGGACTTAGAACCACCTTCCAACCCCTTGTTCTACACTTCTAAAAATGTAGAACAATTCTAGGGATCCTCCATATGCTATATAAGTCATATGATAGATAAGAAAAAGAGAAAAAGTCATTATAAAATCATTACCTTAATCTTTCACACTTTCCCTATCTTTTTCCTTCTTTAAACACCTCTTTTTGGACCTCAAATGCTTAAGCTCGATTTTGGCTATGGAGGAATGGTTTGAGAGCATACGTTTCCTCTTTCTTGATGGTGTGGGTCGAGCTAGGTGATAGGGGTGAGAGAGAGTAATCACTTTTGTCTCAATTGATTAATAAGAAAGGGTGATGGGCCCTCTTTGGTACTTTAGATACCAAATGACCTTCCTCCACACCTTCTTTGTCAACTCCAGCTCTCTCACCTTAAATTTTACTAACAAAAACGTGGGGTGGCCCCCCACTCATGTGGGAGGTCATCCCTTTGTGTTCCAATATATACAATCGGCCTCGAAAATTGTATTTCTCAGACTGTTTGAATTATATTTTATTTTATCAGGACAAATAAAATATATCGCACGTTCCTAATCATTATAGGCCTTTAGAAAAGGTGTATGTTCCCCAACTTTAATTTAGAAATCTCCGAAATTTATTATGGGCTATTATCCGATAAATTACTAATACCGGTAATTGGGTCTCGTTTGACTAACGGGTCAAGTCTATGCCCTTTCTATGGCCCAACTAAAATATTCATCACCATATACATATTATATAGACCAATATGAATATAATATGTGGTTCTGGAATTATCGGGCGGCCCTCATTCCCGATGTGGGCCCCACATGCAATTTACTATTCACGTAAAAGAAATAATAAAAATTTACAACTTCGCAAATTCATAATTCATTCTTCAAGGTTTATTACACAATTTACTAAAATGTAAATATGCTTGGCGACGATGTTACAGAACAGTACCGGGTTGGGCCGGTTCTCGGGCCGGTTCAGCCCGGTTGAGTCCACCTCTAATCTCTCTTAATTTATTCTATGTGCAATCATATCCTAGCGATCGTTCCAGGTCACAAAAGATATCAATTAAATTAGGAAAAAAAATTATCATGATTTGGCTTAGTATAATATTAGGAAAGTTATAAATTTTATACGTAGTACTTTTATGAAAATTCTTTTAACAAAGAACATTTTATATTACTTTTATATTATAAATAATTTCCAATAAAAAGATATTGTTGGGATATTGGACCGAAGGCCCAATACCCGGGCCAAAGGCCCAAAATATCCAGTCCAATAAATAGCCCGGAATCCAGACGAAGAACAGGCCCAATGAGTTATATACCCCGAACGGGGATCGGGTCAATCAGGGTACTTGGGCCAGATCAATGGTGTTTTCAGCATGGTCTATCACCCCATTCAGGCAACGGATGGCTGGCAAGTGGCAGGGAGCAATAAATGCTAGAGTATGGCGTCAACCAGTGGAAGCATAGGCATTCAAGTGGTCAGATTAACGACCAATCAACATGGAGCACCCCCTACCCCCCATTAGTATAAATAGATGGATTAATCTCATTGTAAAAGGTTAGCATTTTGATACTCAAGCCTAGAATACCTTTCTCATTCTTGTTATTGTATTATTCATTATTCCGACGTACCGTTCGGGAAGTTTCCTGTGTAATCAGCGAATTGCTTAATACAAGTGGACTTTTGAGCATATTATTATTCAGCTTTTATATTTTCTAATACCCTCGATTTATTACCCACATCCTGAAATATCACAAGCGTGTGTTGGACTTTCGGATCTGCGGGACTTAATCTCAACAGATATATTTGGTCAAAGTTTTAAAAATGACAGTTGTTTAGGGCGGAGGAAGTATATGAAAAAGATATTTGCCTCAATTTCTATAATTTGAATAAAATAAAGTAGTTTATATATTCATTGCAAATTATAGAGTTTGGTTAAAATTTAAGTTGGACTTAGAAATTAAAATGTGTATATATTCTCATATCTCTATAAGGACAGGCAATTTTAGCCATTTTACCACCACTATTACGACCACCACCACCAGAAGAGTGCGACAGACGTCTGTCTCTTCTTCTTCCATATCAGCAACGAACGTGGATGTATTTGGGATAGTTTTGATGATCTCCTTTCAAGTTTTTTCATCGCTTGTGATTTTTTACCGACTGATTTTCTACTCATTTTTGTTTTTCCGACTGAATTTTTCCTAGCCGAGGATTTGGTCCATTTCAATTGTGAACATGTTTGTGCCTTTGTTCGTGAAATCTGCTGCTTCTTTTTCTCTATCTCGGATCGGACGTTCATTTGTTGGTCATGAATGGAAAGCTTAAATCAAACTTGTGAAAACACATCAAAGGAGAAGTTTAATGGCAAGGGATCAAAAAAGAGCAAGGCGACAATGCTCCTAGAACAACACCGCCTAAAATAATGATTACCATATTGTATATAATGAATTTTTTTATAAAATTACACTGCGATAATTATTTAGAATTTTTTATTCAAGTGTGTTTGTCAAATTCTTCATGATAATATTCTTCATTTAGAGGATTATAATAATTGAAAATTATTGTTTTAGTACAGGGTACTATTTAGTCGAAGCACTTCTTATATTAAACCTCTATTATACGGAGTATAATACTACGTCCCTCGTATTCTATTTTCATATACATTATACATATATTGTATTTATGATATTTTTATATTACTGCTAATATAATAATATAATAAATAAGCAATATGATACTATTTTACTTGGTTTTGTTCTATTGACGGTTCTAAAAGCGAACAGGGATGCCATAAAATAGATTAAAATAGATCATAATATTACCATATCTATAACACTGACAATTCAATTTCTAGATAATTTACTTATTTTGGGTAAACTAAACTCATACACGATCACAAATAAAACAGCATTGTCGATCTCTATATGCCGCTCGAGTACCATATATGAGAACCACAAGAACAAGTATTTCTGGAAAAGAGAATTATGGAAGAACAGCAACAAGTGAATCTCCATAGCCAACAGCTTCTGCATGTACAAGTAGTAATCATTGAAGAATCAGAAAAAATGTAACTAGAAGTACGACGGTAAGCTTATAAAAAAGATTTGAAATAAAACAGATAATAACTACAGCTGAATTTGAAAAACCAAAAATCAAACTAAAATAAATCAGACCGCAACCACACTAAACCAAACTGCAAAAAAGCCAAAACCAAATGTTGTTTTGTTAACGGTTAAGCATTAGTTCAAGATCATTGTTAGTGTTTGATTTTCTAGTATTAGAAAATTAATGTTCTGAATTACAATTATTAAGAATGTTTTATTTAAGATGTTAATTATTATATTTGTGATTTAGTTAAATTTACAATATTCATTTTCACTTTCATTCCCTATAATAATACAACTATATTGATCTATTACTTTTTTCATGTACGAGTATATGGTTTGTAGTTTGTTGCGTGATGATGATATGTTTGTACAGCTTATTAAGAGTAACTTTTGTTTTAATATCCTAAAGTTTTTGTGTTGAGATTATAAATAAATATTTATCTCAATTGTAAGTAATAAACATATTACCTTTGTCTCACTCAACTTTGTCAAGTTGATGTTGGGTGGGAGATTAGAATAGTAAAAATTGTGTGGTTGAAGTTTGTTAGATATACACCTTGTAATAGACTAAAAGTCTTGTATTAGAATAAGTATACATCATATTGTTTAGTAGTCTCGGTCGGTTTGTTAAGTAAGTTAGAACAACCAACTCTATAAATACTTGTATTCTAATACAGTTGAATGTAATCTGATATTTTCTATTAGCATTCAATAATTGTCTCTCTCTTTCTAATATGGTATCAGAGCTTTAGCTCGATCCATCAATGGCGATCACAGATTCCGCATCGAACTCTTCCTCTGCTACTGCAACTTCCACAAATTATGCATCTCTAGTAACATTCGCACATCCTCTTCCACTCAAGCTTGACAGTAACAACTTCATCTTCTGCAAACATCATGTAGAATCCGTCATTCAAGCACACAAACTTCTTCGGTTCATTGTCAAACTAGAAATTCCAAAGCAATTCATCTCCGATGAAGATGACGCAGCAGGAAAGATGAACGAAGTGTATGTTGCCAGGGAGCAACAAGATCAAATGTTGTTCTCATGGCTCCTTGCGTCGCTTTCTGAAGCACTCCATGCTCGCGTTATTCATTGCAGACATTCATATGAGTTATGGAGTGCGATCAACACCTTCTTCCAATCAAGCATCCTCGCAAAAGCCGACAATCTTCGCATTCAAACAATTGCTGACAATCTTTTGTCAATCGGAGAACCGATATCCCCTAAGGATCACATTAATGTGATCCTCGAAGGCTTACCTGAAGAATATGAGTCTCTGGCCTCATCCATATCTTCTCGAAGTATTTTCGATCCTCCAACCTTGTCTGAAGTTGAATCTCTTTTGTCTGCCAAAGAGATGCGACTACAAAAACTTCGTGAGTCTTCTCAGTCAAATCTTCTGTTTGCAAATGTTGCTCATTTGGATATTTTAGCTTCAAACACTCGCTCAATTGATGAAAACATAACTGACAATGCTTCGATTCAAGTTGCTCAGTTCAACAACATTGGTAATGGTGATAATTCTTATAGAGGGAGAGGTTGTGGAGGTTTTTCAAGATAAAGAGGTGGTAGATCTAGAGGACGAAACTCTATCATATGTCAAGTCTGTGGAAAATCAGGTCATCATGCACTCATTTGCTATCATCGCTACAATCCTTCTTTTGCTGCAACAAGAATCATCCTTTTTCACAAAGATGCACTAAGATCACCTTATTCAGCTCATCCATATTCAGCTCCTTCACGGTATCATCATCCTTTTTCACAAAGATCTCCTTCCAATTATTCCTTATTTCCTGCTCCACCACAGTTTAACTGGGATCATCCATCTCAACACTCTTATAATCCTTCATCTACTCCTGGCCAACATCACCCTACTGCTGCTTGGGCCAAGTGCAAATACATCCATTTTAGGACCTCCTCCATAGTCTCAAACATGGTTCCCTGACTCTGGAGCCACTCACCATGTCACTGCAAATCCACTTAACCTCCAGCACAGTGAGCCTGCTACCACAATCGATAAACTCTTTATGGGGAATGGTCAAGGTTTGGACATCAAGCCTGTTGATTTTACTTCCTTTCCATCCCCTTATCAGTCCTCTATTTCTCTCTCCTTCAAAAATATCCTTCATGTTCCTTCCATTACTAAAAATCTAATTAGTGTTAGTCAATTTGCTAAAGACAGCAATGTCTATTTTGAATTCTATCCTTATGATTGTTTTGTGAAATCTCAGGTTTCTAACAAAGTTCTATGGGCCATGCTTGGTGTACACAAGATGTACACAAAATGTGTACATTGCCTGTGTACACAAGCAATTGGATATCAAATTCTGCCATTTTCTAAATGAATTGCCTGTGTACACAGGCAACTAGAAGGGTTTTGTGTACAATTTGTCTACAACTCATGTACACGAAGCATTTTCCAAGTTCTATTACATGGCACTTTGGGAGAAGGTCTCTTTATAGGTTCAAGTCTTTTCCTGTTCTTGGTCTACAAGTTCCGGTTTATTCACTATGTCATCTGCACACAATAATAAGTCTAGTGTCTTGGTGTCTCCATGTAATAATGATAAATCTTGTAGTCCTTCTCAGTCTTGTAATCTTTGGCATTTAAGACTTGGCCATCCTCATTTTGAGGCCCTCAAACTTGTACTTCAACATTGTAAAATCTATTATATCAATAAAAATGCACTTGATTTCTGTTCTGCATGTTGCATGGGTAAGGCTCACAGGTTACCTTCTCATATTTCCACCACTGAATATCATTAACCCTTTGAATTAATATTCACTGATCTTTGGGGACCAGCTCCCATTTGTTCATAGATGCATGTGCCAAATATACATGGATCTACTTTCTTAAAAGAAAATCAGATGCTCTTACAGCATTCACTAACTTCTCTCAGTATTTCTTAATCAATTTTCTGCCTCAATCAAATATCTATTCAATCTGACTGGGGTGGTGAATTTAGATCCTTCACTAAGATACTCACTGACAAAGGCATTATTCACAGTCATTTGTCCACATACACACCATCAAAATGGTGTAGTGGAAAGGAAACATCGTACCATTGTTGAAAAAGGTCTATCCCTTTTATCTCACTCTTCTTTACCTCTTAAATTTTGGGATGCAGCCTTTCTTTGCTACCTCTGTTAATCTCATCAACAGAATTCCTTCAAAATCCATCTCTAATTCAAGTCCATACTTCAAACTGTATAATTCTGTTCGAGGTTACTCTTTCCCCAAAGTGTTTGGGTGTGCATGCTATCCTTTCACTAGACCATATCATAAACATAAACTTGATTTTCATTCTGAGGAGTGTGTTTTTCTAGGTTACTCACCTAGTCACAAACGCTATCAATGTTTGTCTTCTTCTGATAAGATCTACATCTCTAGGGATGTTGTCTTTCAAGAGTCAAAATTTCCTTATCCTGTTATGTTCTCTTCTAATCCTTCTAATTCTACTTCATCATAAGTCCAAATCTTATTTCTGACCCTATAAGTATTCATTCTTTTCCATCTACTTCCAACAATCTTTCTGACACTCGCTCAGTTTCTTCTCAACATTCATCTCCAAATGATTCTAATGACAATAACTTATCACCTTCTAATGATCACAGTCCATTTGATTCTCTGATTCTCATGAATCATCTGCTTCCTCATCTCCTACTTTACAAAACTTTGAACCTCCTCCAGATTCTAATCACCAATCCTCTCCTCCTATCACTCCAATTTCTCCAGTTCCTTTGACTAACACACATCCTATGAGGACAAGGGCTAAGTCAGGAATCGTAAAACCAAGACTTCATCCTACCTTACTGTTAACTCATACTGAGCCTAAATCAGTTAAACAGGCACCCTCTTCTCCTCATTGGCTAGAAGCCATGAAATGTGAATACAATGCTTTGATTGCTAACAGAACTTGGTCTCTTGTTTCTCTTCCTCCAGATAAGCAGGCTATTGGTTGCAAGTGGGTTTACAGGATCAAAGAAAATCCTGATGGTTCTCTCAACAAATACAAAGCCAAATTAGTAGCCAAAGGTTTTCATAAGAGGTATGGTTTTGATTTTGGGGAAACATTTTCTCCTGTGGTGAAGCCTGTTACTATCATAATTCTTCTAACCCTTGTTATTTCCCACAACTGGTCCATCCAACAACTCGATGTAAACAATGCATTCTTAAATGCTGAATTAGATGAGGAAGTTTACATGGTGAATTAAGACACATCTCTAGTCTGTAAGCTTCATAAATCATTATATGGCCTTAAACAGGCTCCTCGAGCTTGGTTTCACAAACTTACTTCAGTCCTCTACAATGCCGGTTTCAAGCAAAGCAAATCTGATCCCTCTTTTCTCATTTTTCTATCTTCTGGAGTTCAAATCTACATTCTTATCTATTTTGATGATATCTTAGTCATTGGAAACAACCCTAATGCCATCAAACAACTGATTCACAAACTTCACTCTTCTTTTTCACTCAAACATCTCGGAGATCTTGACTTCTTTCTTGGCATAGAGGCACGCAAACTTTCTGATGGCAGTCTTCATCTTTCTCAAACTAAATACATCAGGGATATCTTACATCAAACTGGAATGCTAGATTCTAAAGGGGTCAAAACACCTATGGTGAGCACCTGCAAACTTCTGAAGCAAGGCAATGACTATCTTCCTAATTCTTCCCATTACAGATCTATTGTTGGAGTGTTACAGTATACAACCTTGACCAGACCTGATATTTGTTATGTTGTCAACAAAGTATGTCAATTTATGGTTGAACCACTGCACGAGCATTGACAGGCACTGAAACACATTCTCAGATACCTCTTTGGCACAGTCAATCATGGAATTGTTACCAAACCTATTTCCTTATCTACAATGCCTCTTCCCATATCAGCTTACTGTGATGCTGACTGGGCATCTGATCCAAATGACAGGAAATCTACATCAGGTTCATGTATACTTCTTGGAACAAATGTTGTTTCATGGTGGTCAAGGAAGCAGCTTCGTGTTGCAAGATCCTCAACAGAAGCAGAGTACAGGAGTCTTGCAGACACTGCAGCAGAACTTCTTTGGATTCAGTTTCTCTTAAAAGAACTCCAAGTTCCATTCTCTATTCCCAGAGTGTAGTGTGGCAACTTAAGTACAGTTTAACTAGCTCACAACCCTGTGTTGCATTCCAGGATCAAGCACATGAAGATTGATCTTTTCTTTGTCAGGGAGAAAATTCTTCTAAAACAAACCACTTTCCAGCTCAAGATTTCTTGACTTAAAAACAAAACTTAATGTCATTGAGTCTCCAAACCAATCACCCTAGTTTTGAGGGGGAATGTTAGATATACACCTTGTAATAGACTAAAAGTCCTGCATTAGAATAAGTATACATCATAATGTTTAGTAGTGCCTCGGTTGGTTTGTTAAGTCAGTTAGAACAACCAACTCTATAAATACTTGTATTCTAATACAGTTGAATGTAATCTGATATTTTCTGTTAGCATTCAATACCTGTCTCTCTCTCTCTTTCTAATAAGGTTTGTGCAGAAGAAAAAGAAATGAGTATAACCACAAAGTCAGGAAAGTGTCAATGTTTTTTGGGACAAACAAAAAAGGAAAGTTGACAAAATCCATTGGGACGGAGGAGTGTATATTAATGAAATGTTTTCGAACTGAACGCAAAAGTTATAAATTATGAATATATATATATATATATATATATATATATCCCTTCTCTTTCTTATTTTTTATCCCTTCTCTTTCTTATTTTTTATTGCGTTGTATATTTGCATTAACCCTTCTATGAGTTTGAATTTTCTTCGGAAAATTTGTGGATTTGATGGAGCACTTCAATAATCTCCGAAAGAAGATGACCCAAAACCTCCAGCGACTTTGGAGAAACTATCCCTCCGTTTTTCGAGCGATTACACAGCAGCCGCTACACCGGCGTCGACCATTTTTGCAGCAGCGGAAAACCGAGAGCAAAGTAGATGAATGGAGAAGCAGAAAAAGAGGCAGCCGTGCATATTGTCACCGGCATGCCTCGCATTAGAGAAGATCCGCGATAGCATCCTTCATCCACGTTGTCGCTTGCAGCACCTCCTCTGCTCCTCTGTACTCGTTGAAGTGCCGCAAGGGAAGAAGAAATGGCCAGCATCTTTGGGGTGGCTTGGGGCAAAAGAAGAATGGAAAAGGGAGAGAAGAAAAAACGAAAGAAAACAAAAAAGAAAAAGTGTAAAATTAGCCCTTGGATCACCACATATGCAAATTAACGTATTAACCGGTGGTTTACTGGCTAAAAAACCGAATTCAGTGTTTTCAATGGGTTGAGGGGTTGATTGAGGGAATTGCAAGTAGGACTACTGTAGGAGAGCCTAATTGACTTTTTGTCATAGTACATGGACCTATTTGACACTTTTCAAATATACTTGCTTTCGCAAAGCCAGCAGATTCAGCATGTCCAAAAACAAACAAAAAAATAAAAACCAAGTAAATTTGAACAATAGGAATTGATCTATCTTTGACAAAAACTTCTTCAATAATGACTAAAATAATAGACATACCTCCATCATCATAGAGGAACTTTGCGACCTTTCCACCAACATTTGCCTGCCCAGGAACATATTTTTTGACAAATAAATGTATCAGAAATAACCGAATGTATAAAGTCGATACACAATATATAAAAGCCAGCTACTAAACTCACAATGACAGGACTTATACAGCCAAACTGATCAACAAAGCCAATACGTTGCCCTTTTCTTATAACATCACCCTGCAGATTTGAGAAGTGAATTTATGCAATACATGCCATCATGCATTGAAGTAAATGAAAGTCATATGAGTTTGGCAGGGAATATTGTATGATACCAAGTATTATATATCAACTATGTGTCAATGTGTATGTTAACAAAGCCAATACATCGACTTTTAAAGAAGAATAGAACTTCTAGTCCCTCATTTATCACACATATTGAAATGTAGAGCATGTCTTTTATTTTTTCTAAATTTCATCCTTGAGTTGTGAAATAGATTGTAAAATTATGCCCCTCAATAGTGCAACATGTTCCTAATATTGTCCCTCAAATTTGTACCATGTTGTAAATATAGCTCATGCCGTTAATACTGTAGGAACAAGGAACACAATTTATGTTGAGAAAATTAACCCACATATGACTAAAATTTAATGTGTTTCCCAAAATATGACTTCTATCTTTTTTCTTCCCAATATGATAGTGTTTCGTATGTATAAAACTAATATTTAATCATATTTTGGGATGTACAAAAGTAGTAGTCATATATTCTGAAATTGTCAATGTTTTAGTCATATATTAGTAAATATCCCATTTATGTAACATATTAACAGCAGACACTATATTTACAAATTGTTAAACAATTAGAGTATGACATTTGCAAAAATTAAAAGACGGGGACCAAATTTAAATATGAGCAATAATTGATGTACTAAACGCACGATTTTCCCGACATTAATAAACAATCAAAAGAGTGGTTTCTTGGCCATACAATTGATTAAGAGTTAAATATGTTTTGGTCTCTCAACTATATACTACTATCCACTTCCGTCCTCGACTTTTTTTAAACTCAGTTTGGTTCTAGACTTCTAGATAATGCAATTTAGAATCAATTTGGTCCTCATGCATGTGTTGCTTTAATTAGAAAGGTTATTTTTGTATTAGATACTAAATTGGATCCAAATTAGATTGTAAAGTGCCAAATTGAGTCCAAAATTGGGTCTAAATTTAGTGCACTGGCGAAAAAACAATTATTATTTACTACCTCCGTCCCGCTAACATTGAGACATGAGCAGGGCCGGTACAAAGAATAATTCTTGAAAAAAAATTACACGGAATTTTTTACCTTAAAAATTAAGGCATTTTAAAATTTGGGGTGGGCTAGGGCCTAGGTTTACCCACCCTAGATCTGCCCATGGACATGAGAGGGTGGCACGGTTATTAAGAAAAGTGGGTTTATGTGGTTGATATTGAAATGATAAAGTAAAAATAAAGTAAGAATGATCTAGAACCACACAAACTTTACCAAATTTGGTATGGGTCAATCTTTGTGGGACGGACAAAAAGGAAAGATGAGACAATCTTAGCGGGAAGGAGGGAGTAAAACCTAATATGTGAGGCGACTCAATTGTGTCATTTCATATATGGACGGGAGAAACTGACATGAGCACCCCAAAAAGTTTGAGGATCAAATTGAATAATATTGCACTATTGCATAGCTGAAGGACCAAATCAGGTGTTAAACACTAAAACGACAATTGGAATGGAAGTCCCTATAATCCATTTTGCCAAAGAAGCGTAAATGCATATGTTAAATGCAGATACTTAATTTTCACTCATAGAAGTAAAACATGCTATGCCATGAAGTTTGTGTATGGTTTTAACGCACACATATAGTTTTTACGATGATAAGTTCATGATTGTTACCTCATTGCAAGTAGGTGGGTCCTTTGAATTTTTAGCCCTTCGAAATAAGCCAACCTATCACGAATAGAGAAATAAATTCATGGAAAATATAATAAATAATGATACACAATACAGAGCGCTTAACTCATTGAGAAAGTTACTCCCTTCAGCCCAAAAAAAATATAATTGACCAATGCGCAGTTTTTTATTTTTGACAAGATACCGCAGTACTATAAGTAATAAATTATAATAAGTTAATAGCATTTGAAAATCTTTTTAGCTACTTTAACAGATGTTTCCACATTGAACTTGTTTGCCACTCCACTTTGGAAATTTTATTCTAAAAAAGTTTTTATCTCATTGAACACAACTCCTTTATGGGGGGGCTTTTAAACCAAGACTCTTTTATGGGAGAGAGGAGAGCAACGGTAGTGAATGACATGGTAAAATTCAGAGTTAGTAACATAGATAGGATCATGAGTGATGCATACAGATTTTGATGGTATTAGGACATGGCCACTACTTTCAGAAGCTTCTGCTGCTGCTAACTTTGCAGACTTCTCTGCGGAGATATTTACAAATGGGCTACTCTTTCCAGAGGGACTTGGCACTGAAGAAGCAGTAACCAATGAGTCAGTCACGGGTTCACTTTGAGTAGTTGGTGGTGAGGGAGAGAAAACTGGAGCAAGGACTATAGCACCCTCAACCTTCCTCTTCAGGTGCATTTCAAATCCCCCAGCCTATACCAAACATGAAGAAATACTTGATAAGCATATTTCACAACAAACCTTGCTAAAAGGTAACCTGGGTGCATGCTACCACATATTAGGGACCCATTTAACATTGGTTGATAGCCAGTTACATCATAAGAGCAACTAAAACCAATTTTTTTACTAAAGATTGCCTGTGTTCTTGTTCTCGTCGCTATTAGGAAGCATTTGGTTTATAGATAATGTCAAATAACCTACAGTCCTCCTGTGCCAGGAAACATAGATATTTACCTGACCTTGTTGAAGGAAAATAAGGTAATGATGGGATAATCTGATTATCTTGGATTTCTTAGATATTATTAGATTGCCAATGATATATGGTAAACTCACATTCCTTGAACTAAACTCCCCATTGAGGTAATCTTACATTTCCTTGCATTTTTATAACCTCATATTATCGTACAGGAGGTAATCATATTTCCTAAGGTAATTCTATAAATTGTAAAGCCCTTTGTAGAATACTTGAAAGCTTCTCGTTACATTTTGTAACCTGATAATCTCTTCTTTATGGCGTGGGTGTCCATACGTTTTTTTGGTACAAATAATCCCATGGGCCCTAAAGTTAACAACCAGGTAAGCCTTCGGTGGTCCTCCAGGGAGATTCGAACTAGTGACCTCAGAGAACTTTTGTTCCTGGATTCAAACCGGTTGAGCAACCATGGAAGGTTTGTAACCACATAATCTCGTATTACCTTCTAGGAGGAAATCCTATTTCCTATACATAGTCTCACAATGTCACTTACAGAATGCTTGAAACTTCTTAACTATGAAACTAAGGACATGAGAGCTTAGATGTATACAATTTCCTTCATCGTACTTATATTTATATAAACAATACGACACAGATCCCAAAATAGTATGTTACACAAAGCACCACGCCACCACCTTAATTTAGGAAATGCAACACAAGCCCTTTTGTATACATATCTAAAATCTTATAAACACCAATGATGGTTAGGGCATTTAAGGTATGAAAGAAATGTTGGTGTAAACCAAAGCACCATGCAGGTGTACAGTTTGATATACTCATTGTACCATTCATTATTAATCTTTATTTCTCCTTACCACCTCCGTTAACATCTACCGATAAACCCCTCAAGTTCACTCCATTCAGTTTTCTTGGTGTTGCCTAACCTTTTAATTGCTCTATGTATTTAATTGCATTATTATGTACGGAGTATTGATTGCTTTAACATCTACCCATTCTCTTCCGTTGCCACCAACAACATAGAAGTTTCCTGCTTTTGTTAACGGAAATTACAAATAGGTTCTACAAATTCTTCAAAGGGGTTTTCAATCCATCACTGCCGTATGTTTGTGAGTTCCTTACTAATAAACTCAAATTGTTTGTCTTGGAGAGTTTCTTTACTTCTATGTATACACAAATTGTAAATTCTTCTACAATATTTAAGTAGGTAATTCTAATAATATAGGCATCTTAATGTAGAATCAGTTTTCTTCGTTTGTGTTTTCTTTGCTGTACAGTAGGACTTTTTGGCTATATTACTTGATACTCTCGTATAGTCATATGTATAAGGTGTTGTGTGGGGTCAAAACATGGCTCACCAAGTGTTTGTAAATTTGCTTGAATGACATTCATGGTAATCATGTAAGAGATGTATTGCTTCATTCTGTTCTCTTATGCTTTGTAGTGAATGTAAAGACCACACTCAGTAGCTAAATCAGGATGACTTAAAAGCGGGAAAAGAAAATGTCTAACTATGAATAGCCCTTCATTTGTGGATGCTTGCCAAAGCCTGAATAGAATAAATTAAATAATGAATTTGAAGTTGTTGAGATCATCATTTCTAGAAATTCTGAATTCATTTCAGCAATTTGGTTATTATTAGTGGTTTAAGATTGGATTTTATTTTTGATAAAAGTAACAAAATTATTTTCCGTAGGACAAGCTTTTTTTTAGTGAGTTAAAGAAGTGTTTGCTTGGTTTCTATATGACTGGGCATGGTGACACCTTTGAGCTAGAAATGTTGGAGGAGAGGCTGACATGGAAAACTACCTATCCTCCGACAGAGGCTATCAGGTGCACAATGAGATTTTTCACATCAGAGTATGTGCAACAGGCAATTAAGATGATGTAAGGGCATTTCATTGTCGATAAACAAGTTCTGACGCAGAGAGTGTCGTCTTGGAGTGTTTTAGACTAAAAGAGGAATGGCGATGGGCCTAATATGACATGAATTGAAGGCGTAAAAATTATGACAGAGCGTTCAGGGTCAATGAACATATTAATGTACATGACAGGAAGGAGTAGAAAATGAGTTTTTTTGTGGGTGTCAACAGTTTTTCTTTTGGTTAATTGCACTAACCCGAATGTTTTGAGACAAAGGCTTGGCTGGTGTTGTTGTATGATGCTCTTTGAGTGTATCGTGTGATTTTTCTGTAGTACATATTATTCACTGTTGAGATGTTCCGAATGCTGAGGTAGAATTAAACAAACAGATGATTTGTATTGCATCTAATTTCCCATTAACCTCATAAACTTCTAACAATATACGTAGTATGTTGTTAAAATTGAAATCTATGGTTTTGTGTTCTTATCAAATTTATCCTTTTATACTAACTTTCACAACTGAGCATACATGCATATGCTACACACACACATATATAACACATTGTGCACTTAATTTATCGCGCAACGCGCGTGTAAAAAACTAGTATATAACATACACGTGGATATACATAAAATTCCCTAGCAAATAACCAAAGAATATGCTCATGGCCACCCAAGTAAAATTCAGGTTCATATTGATGCTTAAGGGTTTTTTAGTCAACTCTGTAGTTTCAGCTACAATAAGATACATTGAGGACACATTTCCAATGCATAATGTAAACACTTGAAAGTCATTCGTTTTTGCTAGCAGTGTGCAAAAACATATTCAGCTGTCAACGCCTGTCGTACAATAAGTTAATGTTCACAACTAAATTTCGGAGCCGTCTAATGAAATTGAAGGCCCGTTTCCAAATGTAAAATCAAGGTCCCACGTTAATATAAAAAATTAAAAAAAAATCTCAATCTAAATATTTGTACTCAAATCAATTGAATAATCATTAAATAATGTAATTAAAAAAATTCTAAAAGTTACTTAATACTTGATCTAAAGCAACACAACTCATTACTCAAGCAATTTGAGTAAAAGAGGATTAAAATGACCGACAAAAAAACTGATGGATCAGCATTTTTCTTCCTTACTCACTGTATTTTATTAAAAAACTGATGGATCAGCATTTTTCTTCCTTACTAACTGTATTTTATTGATTAGTATTATTATATAATATTACTATATAATACTAATATATTTTTAAAAAAAGGGGCCATAAATTGGGGGCCTGTTCTGTAAAACTTGTTGGACCTCTTAAAAAAAACTTCGAGTAAATTTAACTTTCTACGGTTTCAGAACGTTCTCAATCAGACTGATAAGATAGGAGGCATACCAAAATGAGGCAATATTAGAAATTGTTACCTTAAGTCTCAACTCTGCAATTTCTTTGCTATCACATACTTCTGTTATTAGTGCCTGGCATGAAAACATAGACCAGTGCTCCGTCAAATTTTAAGGCATTCCATAAGATGGTTCCATGTGTATTGCCAAAAAGTAATCCGTTTCTTATGTCCCCAAATTAATAGTTCCCGGTATTATCCAAATCCACTATTTGATAAGAAAAGGGAAAACTATCTATTTGGTCCTCATGTTATCACTAAAATGTCATTTAGGTCCTCATACTTTAACGAATAATCAATCAAATCCCCAAACTTTGTAAAAACGTTCAATTGAGTCAATTAGCATGTTACCTACCATGTTAGCATGTCACCCGTTGACGTGCCACATCAGCATGTGACTTGCTGACATTGTGGGGTAACCTGTTAACGGACTCAGTTAAACCTTTTTTTAATATTTGGGGATTTGATTGATTTTTTTAAAGTACGAGGACTTAATTGACGTTTTCGTGATAGTACAATGACCAAATTGATAGTTTTCTCTAAAAAATAATGTGAACATAGCTTTTATATGCAAAATGCATTAACATTTTTACTATACTAACTATTGGTTCTTAAATTGTATACATAAAGTTATAGACTATCTTTGTTGGGAAAGGGGAGTCATGCACAAAAAAAGGTAAGGTAAAATAGTAAGAGAAAAGTAAAAGAACATTCCAATAATATTTAAAGGGTTAAATAGTAAAAGAAGTAAATATTCTAAATCCAGTAAACTACAATCATTTCTCATTGAATGTGGCGGTATCCAAAAGTTTAAATCACCTCAATATCATCAGGAAATGTAGCTTCTAGCTGTGGATGCTTCCCGTTTAGCAATTCTAGTTGACTCTCGTCCAAAATGGCAGCCCCTTTAGCATCAGGCACATTTGTATATAAATATTAGATATCTTAAAAACACCTTATATTTCCAATTGGAGGCAAAGACTAACTATATTTTGGCTTGAGAATATGATGGAATAAAGCAAAATGGATCACTAAACTGAGTGCACTTCTCATCATGAAGCAGCAGTCGGTCCATGCAATTTTCAACACAATTTTCATCATAGGTCATCCGGAAACATTCTCTATGGCTGCGTACATCCGACCCCCTTACCCCACCATAGGTGGAAGCCTTTGCGACACAGGGGTAATGTTGTTGTTTGTTTAAAACACCTTAAATTGTTACAAGTTGCAAGTAAAGCATTGGGGCTCTTTCATCCACTATATAATATGCTAATGCAAAAAATATATGGTAACAATAATGAGAAGAAGAGCTCATTAGATAAGGGTGAATTCGACTGAAATTGCTGAATTGTAAGGAATATATTTAAAATACATTTAAATTGATAAAATGACAAAAAAAATGAAGGGGGGTATACAATGATAATCTTCTGCAAAAAAAAGTAAATTTATCCCTGCTTTTTCATTACTAACCAATTCAGCATGCACACCCAAATACAGGGGTAATGTTGTTGTTTGTTTAAAACACCTTACATTGTTACACGTTGCAAGTAAAGCATTGGGGCTCTTTCATCCACTGTATAATATGCTAATGCAAAAACTATATGGTAACAATAATGAGAAGAAGAGCTCATTAGATAAGGGTGAATTCGACTGAAATTGCTGAATTGTGAGGAATATATTTAAAATACATTTAAATTGATAAAATGACAAAAAAAAATGAAGGGGGTATACAATGATAATCTTCTGCAAAAAAAGTAAATTTATCCCTGCTTTTTCATTACTAACCAATTCAGCATGCACACCCAAATTAGTTAATGTTTGGTAAAATATGTGCATGACAAGATGGAAAAAATGGCTACCGAAAGGACACTCTTAAGCTCCAGGTACACGTTCCTATTTGATTAGAAGTGAGCATTGAGCAAAATTAAAGTAGATGATAAATAAAGGGAGTAGGATAGCTTAAAGGACAATAACTAACTATATAAAAAATGTGATTGGAACAGTGGAACTATATAGGGAGTAGGATAGCTTAAAGGACATACAAATCTGATACAAATTGTAGTTGGAACTTGAAAGACCTGCAACTGACCATTCAAATTTTCTGATGCATTTGTTTTAGATGGCTTCGCATATGAAACGACAAATCTATTGTGCCTGCTACGCATGAAAATGAGCTTCCCGGGAAATTCAAACTTGGACAATGCAGCACTATTCATGGGGATCACACCAGGCATATCCAATACTGACTTCAGATTAGATGTACCTAGAGGATCTTGAAAAGGGAAAATAACCATTTTAGCATTTAAATTATGATACCACTTTGAAACATATTCTATATAGGGTCTCTTCTGAAATCATGATATGATAGGGAAAGAAATGGAGAGGCAAATACAGATGAAATTTGGAAGGAAATAAAAAGTGTGGGAAAACAAAATCTTCAAACTCCATATATAAATTTGTTAAAACTCAATTAATTTGAACCTTCTAAAGACTAAGAAATTTAAATATATATGTATATAAAAGTTCAATAAGAAGTTACAATCAGAATACATTTTCCTTCATATTTTCCAAGGTAAAACACTAAAACCAAACATAACATTATAACAAACCCATTTTGTTTTGTATGAGTACTTTTGTTAACTTGCCCTATAAACCTACAGTTTTGACTTTTCATAGCATCAAACACACACATAATGTAAGAGAAAATTGAAAAGCAGATAACAAGCCCACTAGAAAGGGGGGTAGAAAGACGTCACTCTACAAATAGCCAATGTATAAATCTCAAACCGTAGCAACTCATTGTTCTTCGAGTGAAATTGGAGCATTGATCTGCATAGACTCGTTCTACTTATATTCAGACTCTGCCCCCAAAATGTAACAATAGCTAACAGGCAACCTTCTCCCAGACAAACAAAAGACAGACACATAGGCACTCATATCCAAACATCAAACTGAATTAACAAAGAAGATGAAATGGTGCTTGGATGACGGATTAATGAGAAACTAATCTCAAAGACTTATTGGCAACTGTTGTACCATAAAAAGGATCCAAAAGCAGAGCTTTCATTGATTTAGAGAAACAAGCATTTGCGTTAATATAGGTGCAGAGCAATTGGAACTCAGTCTGAGTATGAGCTAACATAATAGGTGAAATTGGGTGAAAATTGAATAGGCTAGCTTGTATAAATGACTAAGCTGATAAATAAACGAGCACGCATTCAACATACACACACAAAGACTCTAACATCCAAAAAGATAAATAAGGCGACTGATAGATAGAGAGCGAATTACGGTGGAATGACCGAAGAACGGCGGCTGACTCCATCGGCGAAGTTACAAGTGGAGATCTCTGGACTCTGGGATATCCGTGAAGAAATAAAATTTAGAGCGAGAAATATGAAACGATCGAGGATGAAAGCACACGACTTTGATATATCCGCCACTCTCTCTGCAGTTACTTCATCCCAACCCAAAATTTATTTTTTTAATAGGATTGGTTTATTTTTTATTCTCAGCTCACCCTAAATTTAAATGTCATCTCACCCCACAAATAATTCTCAGCCCAGCCCAGAAAAACAGCCCACATCTGCCTACCTGCCTAAGCCTTACCGCTCCCACTCCCAGCCTGCGGAAGCCCAGACCCCAGTCGACGAAGTCGAACGAACTAAACGAAGGGTGAAGGCAGCAGCGAGTCAGCGACCGAGCGACGACCGTCGACCGAGCCTGTAGCGACCGAGCCTGTAGCGACCGAGCCTGTAGCGACCGAGCCTGTAGCGACCGAGCGACGGAGCGAGTAGCGACGTCCGACTGTCTGAGCCTGTCAACCGGAGCCCGGAGCCGGCAGCCGCCTCTTCCTCTGCCCGACCGCGGACCGCCTCTTCCTCTGCCCGACCGCGGACCGCTCACCGCCTCTTCCTCTGCCCAACCAGGTAAATCCTCTGACCTCTTTGTTGTTTTCAGGGCACAACTTAAATGATGTTTTAATGAATTTGTAAGTGTTGACGACTTGACTTATTATTATATATGTGTATTTCAATTTTTTTCCAGCCCACCCCATTGTGACTTTCTGGATCCGCCCCTGATCCCAGCTAACCATATGTATAATAATAAACTTTTTAGTTAATTCTTTATTACTTTATTATTTTATTATCTAAATCAATCAAAAAGAAAAGAGAAAATTGCTGCAGTAGCACCGAATCATAGTGCTTTTACAAAATTAGAACTGTCTAATGTTTGTTTCATCCGTGTGACACATATACTTCTATTTTAAGAAACTCAATTATTAGTTTCCAAATTTACCCCTTCAGCTAATTAGTCACGCAAAATAACTTCCGCCACCTAAAAATACCGACTTCAACATTCCATTCACTTGCTTTCCTTCTTCCGAACAACGTTCATGGCCCTTTCATTCTTCGAATTGTATTGTTGATGTCTTGCTTTCGTTCTTCCTTCACTTCCATCACCCCTTGAAGTTGAATTGGACTTCAAACTACCGCAATAAGCCCTGGAAATCGCCGGCGAATTTCACATACGGAATAACAATTGAATTCCTCTTCAAAAATCTGGTATGTTGTTATCGATGAAATTTGTACAGTTTCATTCCAATATTGATTATAAACGAAAATTGTTTATACTAAGGTCCTCAAATTTTCAATATGAAGACCTCTCTGATTATCCATCGTACACTTTGTTTTTAATTTCATACCAGCCTTTTGTATTTTCCTCTTTTCTTTGTTCAATTAGTCTGGATATGCTATTTAATTAAACGATTATGGATTCTACATATATAAGATCATGCTTTCTTAGTTCATACACTATGTAATGAGTGTATTTGTTCTGTTATTTTGTTTTTTGCTTCACACGTGTTGATTTTTAACTAGTTCATATAGTATACAATTTGTTTCTGTTTTTAGTAGTTCATACACTATATATAATTGGAGGTGTTTTGTTTGTTATTTGCAGTTGTTAATATCATATTTATTATTTTTAGTGTATTAGTCATTTTTATGATGTTGTTAACATCATATTGTGTTTCTCTTTTTGTGTATTTACAGTGATGGTAAACATGTTGCTTATGCTTAAGGTGGATGGTAGTTGGGACAACTCATTTCTTTTCTCTAACAAATGATGATTTGGCTTAATAGTACCCGAGGGGACATTATATATTGACTTTACTTCTATGATTTATTCATGGGTGGATCTGTTACCAATACAAGGCTTAGGATTTCATACCTTGAAGATGCATGTCCGCCTCCTTTGCTTTGTGAATTGTTTACCGTCGATTCTTGTGTTAATCAACCAATGTCATGTGGGGATTCTGCATTTGTTGTCAATGTTTCTTCCAAGCCACCAGCGATTAATGTCCTACAACAAGATACTAGTTATGTGATGCGCATTGCGCGATCGGGAAAATGTCCAATAACTACAATCATATAACTCAAAGCTACAATGAGATGAGACATATAAATAGACGATTCAAATTGAAAAAGCTGAATCGCTAATCTCGTAAATAAATAGGCTCCACATTCAAGTCGACGGCTCTTGCTACGATCACAATATATAATTCTCAAACAAACTACTTCGTATTAAACATCCCGATTTGTCCAGCCACCGGCAAGGAGCCAAGTGTAAAATTTATTCCGCTTCTGCCAGCCACCGGAAAGAAACCAGTCCATGTGATCTCAACTTCTTGGAACAACGGTGATTCAGGAGGGGGTGATTCGTTACAATATCATCGCAGATGAAAATCATATTCTCAATTGATGAAGATATCAATGCAAACCTCTTATTAGCACACATGAACGCCCGACCGAAGATGACGGTGAATATAAATTTGGCAGACGACACTACGCCATCGAAAATAATCTCTAAACAACGTTATAAAAGAAACATATAGATAAAATTGAAAACACTTATCAAGTATACATTTTTTCATTGTTATCTATAATGCTAATATGTGAATTTGTTTCTTGATTATAAACTTGTGCATAGAAGTAATGCTAGCTATTTTCAAAAAAAGAAGAAGTAATGCTAGCCGCTTGAACACTAATAATTAATGAAAGGAATTGCATATATTACGATGGTTGCAATGTAATCACTTAATGGTTGAAAGCACAAAATGATGAGAAGTAATGTTTGAAAATGATTGAAAGCACACAAATTATTTAAATCATGATTTGTACAAAATGATGAAAAAATCTAAATGTACACACTTTGTGTACACACACTTACACACTCGTGTTTGTGTAGAAGTTTTTTTTGTAACAAAAATGCCTACACAGACACGGGTGTGTAAGAGTGTGTACACAAGTGTGTACCCCAAGTCCGATTCCAAAATGATGGGTCATGAGGGTGGGTAATCATCACTAACTACTGATCCACCAGTAATTCAGAAAGTTATAATCATACTTCTGTTTAAAACGTCCAGATGTCACCCATGGTTAGAGTGGGATCCATGAAGCAGGGGCGTGGGCACGAGGGCCTAAGTCAGCTATGAGCCCACTCAAATTTACTAAAAAGTGTTAGTGATTGGCTCATCTTTCCTCTTCGATCCATTTTATTGAGATTGTATCATACTCCGTATCAAATTTGGTAATGTTTTGTGATTCTAAATCATTATTATTTATTCTTACTTTATTAATTCAACATCAATCACATAAACTCATTTTCTTAATAACCGTACCGCATCATCATGTCCCAGTGTTAGTGACACGGAGGTGGTAATAATATTCAGATTAGATCAAAAACATTTAAATCAGACCAAATATTTTAAAAAATTATTATTGTTGTTATTTGTAATATTATTATTAGTACCATCATTGATATTACTATTCTAGTAGGTGTAGTTAAATTGGTTCAGTTAAATGTTAATTTTAGCAATGAATTGATAACAAAATTGAGGGAAAGTTATCTATGCCTTAGTTTTGCCGCTTTATTAATTAAATCCTAAATTTTCAAGCTTGCATTCTAACGGACTTGCTCACTAACCATATAAGACTATTTACTGGGTTGTGAGAAAAAGTTTGTCTCCACATAATTCTAATTGACTAACAAACATACAAAACATATGAATCCCTACATTATTTCAAATAGCATGTCTGGTTTCACATTTTTTTACTGTAAGAGAATTGTTGTAAACATCTGTTCCAAATTGATTTGCAAAATCAACAGTTTTTGGTCAATCACAGTTAAAGTTAAATCCTCTCTATTGCTAATTAACTGAATTTTTAATAATTAAAATATACATATTCGGAAACTACATTAAAATATCTTTAAAGTTGCTAACTCCAAAACTAGAATATAATTAAAAATTAGCATCCAAATTAAGTGAATGAAATGAAATTGTTCGATAAAAAAAGTCAATGTTGCAAATTAATTTGGGACATATGTAGTATATAATTTGGTGAAATTTTATAAAATGAATGTAGGTAAAAATACAGTTAAATACTCTGGATAAACAAGCCAAGGACTTCGAAGGTCAAGACTTCTGTTCTACAAACTGACAGGTCATATTATAAGCTGATTTCCGTCGATGGTTGAAATTCCATAATTCCGAGGATCTATAACAAGCGGCTGATTGGGGGAAGGGTGAATAACAAGAAAAAGGGGAAAAGGGGTAATAATAAGAAATTAAAGCAAACAATTCAATTGGGTAGAATTAGCCCTGTTAGAACCCAATTGAAGTTGTTAGCAACAAAGGAGAAATGAAAAGTTAACGAAAGTTTAAAGAGGTGAAGACTAATGGAAGAAAATTAGAAAAGTTAGAATATAATTTAAGGGGTACAATGCTTTAAAATGAATGTACAATTGAATCTAGCTGTACTGTACCACCAACACATTTCATATACCCAAACAACCCTTACTCTCATTCACTCTTATAAGATTGTAGAGATGTCTGGCAATGTTCTTCCAATTGATCTCAATGTAGCTGCCACTGCTTCACTTGATCTCAATGTGTCTACTGATTTTAATCAGTCCATGACTTTGGAAGATGCACATTCATCTTCTATTGAAGTCTCAGTTTCAGCTTGTCCTTTTGATCCTTTGGAACATGATTTAATAGTTTCTAGGAGTTCTAGTGACACTTCATCAAGTCAAACCGTTAGTTTGGATTTAAATGGTCATTTGGATTCACTTTTTGTGGTTCTTAATGATTTTGAAGTTATTTCTCACTTCCATCCAACTCATATAGCCAGAGATGCCATATACAAAACTAAAAAGACTTAAAGTTTCCATTTAAAGGTTTATTCCATTTCAAACCATTTTCAATATAAGACCAAAACGTCAACCAAGAGAGTATTGCATGTTATTTGTGTTGATGTTGAGAAATGCAAATGGGTTGTTCGTGGAGTGAGGTTGTCAGGAAGTAACATGTTCCGATTAAAAGGTATTTGTTTTCTGTGCTTGATTTTTTTGCTTTATGAATTAGTTAGTGTCTGGTTATTGTCTATTTAATGTCAATTAATGTTTCACATGTTCAATTCTGATCATACATGTTCCATTGATTTTAGGCAAG